GAAAGAAGAATAAAACCGGTAACATGAGCAATGGTATAGTGAGCATGGTGATGATTCAGGAGGATACCGACGCACACCGAGTTTTGTAAAGTATCGTGAAGCAAAGGGAACATCACATGATAACCAAAGGTTCACTCGAATACCATTCGTGTAATCGCAGGGATCGATATGGGTGTCCATGGTTCCGCTATCGGTCATTAAACGAAGAGGTTTTGTTCATGTCTATGATTTACCGAACCTACTAGGTCACAAGCTTAAGGTAATCATGATCTGATGAGTGTTAGTGGTATGGGAGTAATGAGAATATATTTGTGTAATTGTTTCACTAATACCCAGAATAGTTCCGAGAGGTTCCGGAAGCGTTTGGGGTCACCAATAGGGTTTCGGTGAATATTGAGTATTACCTGGTATTACCGCTTAATTATATGTAGGTGGAAAATGTTTCCGGGGATGTTAAATTATATATAATGATTTGAAAATGTTTAGAATGAATATATATTTAATTTAATATCAATTGGCCTAATAAGGCCAGGAGGTGGAGAAGGAATTGGGCCACAAGGGCCCAATAGGGAGGCGCCCCCCTTTCCCACTATGGGAGGCCTAATCCTACTAGGGGTGGGAGTCCAACTCCCCCCCTAGGCCGGCGCACCGAGGGGGACTCCTTCCCCCTTGGTGGCCGCCCCCTCCTCTCCCCTAAACCTATATATACTAGAGGATTTCCACCCTATGTTACACAAGTTTCGGAGCCTCCTCTAGGGTTGATCTAGTTCTAATTCTAGTTGGTCTCAGTTGACTAATTAGAGCTAGTCATATCCACCTCTAATCCTCATAATTAGAATCCCCATGTGGTTCTAATTTCCTCCCTCTAATTCTCCGACGATGATTAGCTTTGGACGGCGAAGTGCTGCCAGATCATGAAGACCGTACGCTTGCAACCAAGTAGAGAGACTGTGCTTTTAGTCTTCCGTTCGAGGGATCATTAGAGGGCGGTTCACGAGATTGCCATCAACGTTCGAGGGACTCCAAGTACGATCTACACCGACTCATCTACTTCCGCTACACTCTGGAGTCGGTAATGATCATTGATCTAAACCCGATATGCATCTTCATATTGTTCCTGGGTGTTCGTAGGGCGTTTTTTTTGTTTTCTACTACACTCCCCAACACTTTTCCTTTGCGGTTAACCACACTGGGACCCTTCCCTCTTCGTGTGTTATCCTTCCCCCGAATCTAGGGCTAACAGGAGATACGACACTTGCCTGCCATAACCATGAGTCGGAGTGACAAGAGCACTTTAGCCCCCTACATGGCGTGCAAGATGCCGGAGTGTGTACTCAGGACACAAGGGACCGGGATACCATGTATTTGTGAGTTCGGCCAAGGGCTAAACGCCTTGTTAATCCATGGGCAGAGGCAAACCAGGACACATGGGGATTTTATACAAGTTCAGGCCACCATCTTAGCGTAAAACCCTACGCCATGTTGGTATTGATATAAACTGGGGGATACAAGTGCTTTTGTGTTACAAATGTGGTGGTCGGGCTGAGACCAGTGGTGGTCGGGGTACTAGTTAGAGTGCTTGAACACTCCTAAATATGCTCTTCCTCCTCTCTGCCTATCTTATCGTTGCCTTGTAGTTGCTGGTGGTGTGGTGGTAGCCAAGTGTTGTCCCCTTGTTTGACCATGGCCCTCCCCTTATATAGGTCTGGGGGATACCACATTTGGTCTACAAAATACATGTGAAAGTATACGAATAATGGTCGGCGAGGCGTACCACTTACCTCTGTCACATTGCAGTAGGTGAGCTGACACTGTTGCATGTGAGGTGCTCGAGTTTTTCCATCGACGTGACGCGCCACACCGCCCTTCTCCCGCTTTACACCGCACCAACGTCCGGTCTTGTCATTCGTCCCTCCTGGTTGTTGTGATGATGACCCTACCCGTAGCCCTGCACCGGGCTAGGGGGGTAGGCCGACCGGGTATTTAATGCGTGGTTGATGGAGTACTCTACAAGGTCGTCCTCTCCGGTCGACATGTGCCCCGTCTGCTCGGCGCCTCAGCCCTCGAGTGTGTCATGGCTGGCATCATGAGTCTCTCCGGGGACCTTTTGTGACATATTTCACAGCGTGCGACCCGTTGCTCTGTAGTTCCTACACAAGTATTTTTACCAAGATACATTTTTGACCATAGTTATACTTTCCCAATGCTAGATATTTCCAAGGAGGCGCCGATGTATGGTTTTTGTGTATACCCTGATATCTAGTGTTCCGTCAACCTGCTGCAGCACGCGCCAGGGCAGACATCGTTCCGCCGCATGACTACACGGTGACCAACATGCATCCCTTGTTGAGAATCGTGACAGTTCGCCGGCTGTCGCTGCAGAAACCTCGTCAGGGATCGCCGAAGATTCAGCTGGGAGGGGTTGGATACGTGGGGGAATGCAAGGTGTTCTGTGGAGGGTGAGGAGAAAAGGGACAAGCCATTGGCTCTGATATGCACCGCAATGAACAATCCAATTGCGGTGACATGGCTGGTAGCATGCGCCAAGATCCCTGCAACAGAATCAAACAGCTACAACAGCGTTCACTAGGTAAGAGCAACTCTAGCAGACCCCGCATCCCGCCGGCCACAAAACGCGTTTGCAGTTCGCGCAAAACCGCTTTTGCGGGCCGGCTTGGACGGCCACAGATGCAGACCCCTCAAACGGACCCGTAAAAAAGCATATGCGCGGAATATGCTTTTTTACTGGTCGGCTTTGCGGGGTCTGCTCTTTGCGCCGCTGCATCCCGCATCTTATCGGCCTGCAAATATCAAATCCAACATAAAGACAACAATCCAAAGCAAAACTTAATTATTCAAATCAAACATAATACAATAATCATCCACATTACAAATAATTATTCAAATCAGCATAGCAAACTTAAATAATGCAATACAAAACTTGTCATGAATACAAATACAAATGAATACAAAAAAAGTCATTGTCCAACCCTTTGCCAATGGTGATCAATGAGATTCTCCTGAATTTAAAAGTGGGTGTTTGCATTTTCAATCTCCTTGTATGTTTGAAGGAAAGCTCTAATGCGGTTAGGGTTTCTAGCTGGTTTGACATGACTACCCACATTGTCATAGAAGAATTCCAAGTTCATTCCTCTCTCATCTTCAAGAATCATATTGTGCAGGATAACACAACATGCCATAATATTTTTCAAGGTTTTCTTTTCCCAAAAATGAGCAGGACCATGGACAATGGCAAACCTAGATTGCAAAACACCGAATGCTCTTTCAATGTCTTTTCGGGCTGCCTCTTGCACCCTTGCAAATTCACATTGCTTTTTAGTTTTGGGTTCTTTGGTTCTTTTGACAAATGTGCACCAAGGAGGGTATATACCATCAGCAAGATAGTACCCCTTTGTGTATTCATGCCCATTGATAGTGTAGTTGCAAGCAGGAGCATCACCACTAGCAAGCCTAGCAAACAAATGAGACCGTTGCAACACATTGGTATCATTGAGAGTGCCTGACATACCAAAAAAGCAATGCCAAATCCATAAATCATCGGATGCTACGACCTCAAGCACAATTATTGCATCACGAGACTTGCCACAATACATTCCTTGCCATGCCTTGGGGCAATTTTTCCAAGTCCAATGCATACAATCAATGCTACCTAGCATGCCAGGCCAACCTCTCCTCTCATTAGTTGCCATCAATTTCTTTGTGTCATTTTCGTTGGGTGCCCGAAGATACTCAGGACCAAAGACACGGATGATCACCTTTGCAAATCTACGCACAGACTCAATTGTAGTATCTTCACCAATGCGAAGGTACTCATCGGCATAGTCAGCCGGAATACCATATGCAATCACTCGCATTGCCGCGGAGATTTTTTGATATGCACTAAATCCCTTTAAGCCCGCAACATTTCTTCTTTGAGTAAAATACCGGCAATTTGCCTCGCAAGCTTGAACAATTTTGACACTCGACGCATTCGGTACCTTCTCCGGAAGAGGTGCGGTGGATACGTTGGATTCTTCGTGAAGTAGTCTTGCATCAACATCTCGTTCCTAAGATGACGATTCCGGGGAATGCAAAGGCGCCCGACGGTCGATCCTCGCCTCCTCTTCCGGTTCTCGTCTTCGTGCTCCTTCACGGTAAGTGCCATGACCAAACTAAACCTAGATTGCAAAAATCACAACAAAACGCACTAACCGGTGGCAGACGCGGCGGGTGATCCCGGGCGGCGATTAGGAGGCGGGCACGACGGTGGTCGATCCCCGGCAGCGGCAGCGACGAGGGCGTCTCTTCTCGCCGGATCCGGGGGGCGGTGCAGCGTCTCGGGGCGGGAGGGTGTGGGCGGCCTCGTGGACCGATTCCGCCCGCAGATTTGGCCGAAAATCGCCGGCGGCGGGCGGGCAGAAGCAAGGGCGGTCGGCGGCGGAAGGAGGAGGGAAAGCGCGCGGGTTGAAATGTCCGTCCCGCCAACTGCTTCTATGTGACGCAGGGCACCGCAGCCGCGAGGGGGAAACCCGCATATTCCCGGGTTGGGGTTGGGATTTTGCCGCGTCCCTCAAAAAATTTTGCGGACCGGGACGGGATGCGGGTTCTGATCCGGCAGGTTTTTCCGCCCCTACCCGCATTTTGGCGGTTATTTTGTGGGTCGGGGACGGATGCGGGGTCTGCTAGAGTTGCTCTAAGTCTTAAAATTGGACGGACGCGAGATAAGATTTTTCAAAAAAAAAGAAGAAAGAAAGAAAGAAACTTTCCACGTGATCCTACCCCACCAACTGGGCCCCATCACTCACCGTCGCCCCAATCACCTCTCCACACGTGAGATCGCCTCATCCTCCGTGCCAACCATGTGGCTCCCCTCCCACCACCGCTCTCCTCTGGCCCTTCCCGCGCCTTGCTCCCTCCTCCACACCACTCCCTCCTCCGCCGCCTCCCCTCGCTTCCACCCCCTCGACCCCCACAGCCAAACCCTAGCTCTCCGCCCCGCCATGTCCGTCGCGGCCGCGGCCGCCTCCCTCGTCGCCTCCTCTTCGCTCTCCGTTCCCGACCACCTCCGCCTCCGCCGCCCCCCGCCACCGCTCCGCTTCCGCCGCCGATCAAAGGACCGCCTCGTTCTTGCTGTTCTCGAGGAGAAATCCTCCTCTGCGTTTACTGAGGAGGAAGCCAGGAAGTTCGGGCTCAACGGGAGCGCGAGCAGGCTCGGGTACGACGATGCCGCGGTGGAGGCGTACCTCGGGTCCAACGGCAACGGAAACAGCAACAGCAACAGGAGTGCGAGTGGGAGTGGGAACGGCGCGAGCGTGAAGCCCGTGCCATCCGGGTCTGGCACTTCTGTGGTATCCGGCCGTGGGCCGGGTGAGGATGAGAGGAGGAAGGAGAGAGTGGAGGAGATAGGCAGGGAGGACGCATGGTTTAAGCGAAGCGACGGAGAGGCCATGCCCAAGGTGAATATTTGTTTGCTCGGCGTTTTCTATTCCTAAGTATGCGTCTGTCAGTGTGTGCGATCAGTGCGTTGTGCCATTTTTGTTTTCTGAGACGGATGTGCGATATCTCCTGTAGTAAGCAGGACTGCCATGTTGCTTTGACTAAAGACTTCAGTGACACGTCAGTGTAAATGTGTAATGCAAGGAGTAGGTCGTTCATATTTTGTTCTAGCTGGAATGAAGTTATATTCAGGGAAGGCCGGGTAATAGCATCGTCAGAAAGGAGTAATAGAATATGCACCGTGGTGGAGAGAAGTAAACAAGCTTGTCAGTTGTTTGTTCTGTCAGCCCTGTAGTGCTTTCAGCTTGTGCGGATGGAAGCATGACTTACCGTCATGCACATTTTGACTCCATGATTTGTGTTAATATTGTTGTTCATCTGGGATCAGCTGAAATGTTTATCTCATGCCATTATTAATGCTTCCTCATTCTGGGTTGAAAAATCTAAATCTTGCAGGTGTCTGTTGTTCCTGGTGGTCGTTGGAATCGGTTTAAAACCTATTCAACGATTCAAAGAACCTTGGAGATATGGGGCTCTGTCTTCGCATTTATATTCAAGGTTTGGCTCAACAACCAGAAGTTCACTTATCGAGGTTAGAACTTAATCACGCAAACAGAAACGACACGGTACTATATTAAAGGTTTTATACCACAAAGCTTAGGTACCTGGACTTCTATCTTTTCGTACTCCACTACATGTCAGTCAGTTTCTTGCAAGTCTTTGGGTCATATTCCATAAAATAACAAATGATTGTTTTATGTGTCATATTTTTTTTTTTGCACATTTAGGCTTTACTTGTCAACCACGTGCAGCCTCAGATGTTTATTTGTGTTAGTATATTCGTTACCAAGATACTTGAGAGGCAGATTTGGACTTATTTTTCTACTTGTGAAAATAATAGGCAATTCCATGGCTTTTGAGATGAAGTGTAATCCAACTACTTTAGCTTACATGTCATAAAAGGTGCCTTACTGTTTGAACATATAACAAGAAGTACTATATGATAACATGGAGAAAGGACGCCGGCTTAAAATCCTTCATCTTATAAACAGGGTGTATTGCATTTTAAACAATTCACTGACTTGCTGGATGCTGTTCGTTTGTGCCCTAAAGTTCCCTACATATTCTTAGTAAAATTGTCTGCATAAGGCATCCCTTCATGCCGATGAATTACCTGCAGGGGGGATGACGGAAGAGAAAAGGGTAATGAGGAGGAAAGTTCTTGCCAAGTGGCTCAAGGAGAGTATTTTGAGATTAGGCCCCACATTTATTAAAATAGGACAGCAATTCTCCACCAGGGTGGATATTCTTCCAAAAGAATATGTGGATCAATTATCTGAATTGCAGGTTTGCATGCACACTTCTATACTTCCGCATCTGGACACATCCAAAGCATCTGCGGTGAATATTGGATTATTGTTTATTAGCAAATCTGCATCTGTAATAGATTGCTATAGGGAACGTGTACTTAACCTATTAGAAAAACATAAGGGCTTGTTTCATTACTCGTAGCGAAAAGTCTGTGAATCTTAAAATAAGTATTCAGTACTCCCGCAAAAAAAAAGTATTCAGTAATGACCATGGGTAAAATCTGTACTAAGTGTCTTGACATAGATTAACTTCAAAAGATTATCTCTTGGATTTTAAATTGGGGGTCTATCAGAATCTCATAATACCTGCTATGAACCACCCTATCTGCATATGAAACATCGTTTGTTTTTTGGTGGTTTGATAAAACACAAGTATTTAAGGCCTATTAGAACACTTCCACCATCAGCTAACTGCTCTCAGTCGTTGAAATCTTACCGTCTCTTGTTTCTGTTAGCGCCGGCTAATCACGATCTCCTCCAGTAGCTTACGAGCTTCAGCTATATGCGCTTGATTGTTGCTGACCCAAATTCCCCAAAGTCCTCCAGTTGCAAATTTATGCATAAATATGTATCCAATTTAGTTAAATTGGTCAACAGATCAGCGTAGTAAAATAGTCGTTCTTGTCAGTTAAAAACTTCTCGCATTTCCTAGATTTTTGGTAACTAGCAGTGCTATATCTTTACTTTATACTAATGTTATCATGGACCCTCTTTTGCAGGATCAGGTCCCTCCATTCCCTTCAGAGACAGCTGTGTCAACTATTGAAGAAGAGCTGGGAGCATCTGTAAATGAGATATTTGAACGATTTGACGTTGAACCATTAGCTGCTGCTAGCCTCGGTAATAAGCTCGTAGACTAGATATGTAATCTTGAAATTTGACTAGAACAAAAGCATTTTATTTTCTTGTGTCAACTTGACACTGTAACAATACATCCCTTTTTGGCAGGCCAGGTTCATCGGGCAAGCCTAAATGGCCAAGAAGTTGTACTCAAGGTGCAAAGGCCTGGTCTGAAAGAGCTGTTTGATATTGATCTGAAGAATTTAAGGGCAAGTCTCTTAAAAGTGTACTTTTTCCCTAACAGATTGTGCCTCTCTATTATTTTTCTTTCTTTTCAAACCATCAGCTGATAGCCTCAACTGATGATGTTCTAGGTAATAGCAGAATACCTTCAGAAAGTGGATCCCAAGTCAGATGGTGCCAAGAGAGACTGGGTTGCTATTTATGATGAATGTGCAAATGTATTATATCAGGTGCGGCTGTCTTATGCTCACAACCTACGGTCTGTTACTATCTCACGCTTGTCAGATTTCAGGTTTTTGAAATAACACCTATTATATAACAGACTATCGGAAGCAAACGTATCCATTTTTTATGCATCTTTCCTCAGTGAGAGTAAATTGAGATAATTTGATGCGTAGGTAGAGTTCTCTAGGCATCATAAAACAGCGTTTTGGTGTCAATACTTCCATAATAGTGCGAGGATTGGGCTTGAGAGGCTTACATCTTGATGTTGACTTTGTTCTGTATTATTAGTCCATTTCATGATGCTCTTTCTTGCTTTGAGTTCTTTGTATCAAACTATCAATATATTTTCCTTAGATTGTATTAGATAAATTCTTTCAAATCAGCCATTTGATTTTTGGTGTTTCTTGTATATTTACATGAAAGCAAATTACATAATCATCTTATGGTTGTTTTTTAGGAAATAGACTATACCAAAGAAGCATTTAATGCTGAAAAGTTTGCTGAAAACTTCAAAAATATGGATTATGTGAAGGTTCCAGAAATTTACTGGGAGTATACTACACCTCAGGTTCCTTCCATGCAGAAATTTGTGAATAGACTCTCAAGCAACATAGAACAGAAGATAAGACTTAAGTTTATTTTGTATGCTTTGTAGGTTCTAACAATGGAGTATGTCCCAGGAATCAAAATAAATAGGATACAGCAGATAGATAAGTTAGGGCTTGATCGGAAAAGGTATCCTCTGAAGTCTGAATACTACTCGGCCATGACTTTTTTTGCAGTACCTACTAACATTGGTATCTTTTGTTGCCAACCGTAATCTTTTTCAGGTTAGGCCGGTATGCTGTTGAGTCCTACCTTGAGCAGATTTTATCGCATGGATTTTTCCACGCCGACCCGGTTAGTTGCACTATACATAAGCGAAATATGCTGTAGTTGTTTCAATTGGACTTCGGTGTCCAGGCAGGGAAGCTGCTTCCCTTTTGCAGTTTGAGAATTAAAGAATGTTCTACAAATTCTGATAAATTCATGGATACAGTACATATAAAGTAAAGCAGTGTCTGGGCTAATGGATGTCTTGTTCATTACTTCTCATTATATTCTCTTGTCCTCTTGATTACATGGATGAATTCGGGTATAACCTTTGCAGGTTCATTTTACTCTATATCTACTATATTAGTGTTTTATTTCCAGTGTTTTGGCAATGTCTTCTGCGCTCAAATAAAAAAAATGCAGTCAACCTTCTATTATTGCACTATAATGTTTTTTTGTGGGGGCGCTATAATGCATTCAAATGAATCACAAAAATTATTATGCACTAAGAGAAACTAGGTGTAGTTATGTGGTCATGCTCTGCCAGAGTCCCATCAGCAAAGCATATGTGCATTCCAAATCATCAAACGATCTCCAACCTTGGCAATTTTATTGGGTGCAGCTCTATTTATGTTAGCTATAGCCATAATGTCAAATATTATCATCTCTTAGATTATAAATTCCATGATATCAAATCATATGTACTCTATTTTGCTCCTTTTAAGTATCTCGATTAAATGCAGTAGCCGTGCACTGGTTAAATTGATTCCGTTTACAGCATCCAGGGAACATTGCTGTTGATGATGCCAATGGTGGGAGGCTTATCTTCTATGACTTTGGGATGATGGGAAGGTTGCTTATGATCATTTTGTTTCCTCCAAAGTCCATTTATGTAATTAATCTAATCTTCATTCTTTTTACTTGCAGTATTAGCCCAAATATCCGCGAAGGACTGCTTGAAGTATTTTATGGAGTTTATGAAAAAGATCCTGATAAAGTAAGTTTTTCTTGGTAGTTTACCTGCAGACAATAATGTAGACCCTATGAAGTTTGACAGAACATCATGTGTATCCATGCAGGTGCTTCAAGCAATGGTTCAAATGGGTGTCCTTGTTCCTACTGGAGATATGACAGCCGTCAGAAGAACAGCTCAATTTTTCCTGGATAGGTAATCTACTAGTCCTTTATCCCGGAAGGATGCTCCTTTGTACTTAGTTACAAAGTTTCCTAAATGAGATCAACAACGCCGCTTAGCCTCACCGCGTTCTGTTTATCTATTGTATAGCTTTGAAGAGCGTCTAGCTGCACAAAGGAAAGAGAGAGAGATGGCAACCGTGGAACCTGGATTTAAAAAACAATTATCTAAGGAGGAAAAGTTTGAAAAGAAGAAGCAGAGACTTGCAGCTATCGGTAATGGTTCATGATTCCTGCAATCTATCAGGGAACATGATAGAAGGAAACATGCCATGCATGTCATTCTACTGGTTTTGCTTTTCTGTTTTAACTTGCATCAAAATTTTACAGGAGAGGATCTTTTGGCAATTGCTGCTGATCAACCATTTCGGTTTCCTGCCACCTTTACATTTGTGGTCAGAGCATTCTCAGGTCTGACAGCTTTGCATGTAGAGAACCATGGCTGTAACATGATGCCATAGCTTCATGGCTCCTTATGCTTTGTCCATTCATGGCTCCTTATGCTTTCTCCATTCTTTCAGTACTGGATGGTATTGGGAAAGGTTTAGATCCTAGATTTGATATTACAGAGATTGCTAAGCCGTGAGTATTCTCTACATTAGTAGCATTCCATGTTCTTAATTGACAAAATCTTGACATGGCCTTCTCTGAATCTGATTTGATGCATCTATTTAAATTACTAGTTATGCCATGGAGTTGCTCAGATTTAATGAAGCTGGTGTTGAAGTACTTGTTAAGGCAAGTTAACCTTTGGTCCATAATTCTAACCTACATGGTAACGCCTGAGTATGTTTACCATGGAGTGATTGTTTCATGTGCATTTCGTTATACCTCAGGATGCAAGGAAGCGATGGGACAGGCAATCTCGTGCATTCTACAATGTGTTCCGTCAACCTGACAGAGTTGAAAAACTTGCACAGATTATTGAGCGTTTGGTATCTACAATGTTCTTTGGCCTATTTTCCGTGGTTTGCTGGTGCCATTCAACAATGAACTCAATGGTCTATTTTTTGTTGTTTTATAACAGGAGCAAGGTGATCTCAAGCTTCGTGTCAGAGCATTAGAATCAGAAAGATCGTTTCAAAGAGTTGCCGCTGTACAGAAAACAATTGGATATGTGAGTTTTATAAATTAATTAAGCTTTATATTGTGTTATGTTATCATTGCTATGGGAATTTAGGGCTGTCCAAGATAAAACTGATAGTGGGTGGGTGCCAGTTTTTCAACTCTTAGGATGCTATGCACTGTGTGTGATTAGGGTGTTAAAAAATGGTCTCACGGTGGGAACCGCTCGATTCATTTATTTGAACTGGAACTTGTGTCCTTGATCATGGCTAATGAAAAAGCTGTACTTTCATCTGACTGTCGGTTTTGGTTGGGTTTGTTTGAACCCGGCCATGAACACCCCTATATGTGATCATGATGTCGTGCTCTGTTTTTATTTTCTTTTGAGTGCTAATACCATCCTCTGTTGTGAAACGCTGCTGTGTGTCACCCAGGGAGTGGCTGCCGGGAGTTTGGTAAACCTCGCTACCATTCTGCACCTCAATTCGATCCGGGTAAGTTTCCCAAAGAAACTGCATTCATCTTTCAGAAAATTACCAGCACAAAACTAAATTCAAACACACTTCCATTTATCCATTGTAGATGCCAGCAACCATCGGATACTGTCTTTGTGCGTTCTTTGGGCTACAAATCCTGCTTGGCGTTCTCAAGGTGAAGAAGCTGGACCAACAAGAGAGATTGATAACCGGCACTGCCTGAGTTCACCAATCGACCAGTGAGAGCTGATCCAAAAGATTTCAGTGTAATACGTTGCGGTTATCATCCGCTTTTTCTTTTCCTTTTGCCTGTGTGCAGTTTTACCTCAGAGGTGGTGTAGCATAGCCATCGGCGTACGAGTATGAAATCTTTGTACATGCGGTGTAATAGATGAAGAGATGTACATACTGTACAATTGCAGAGTAAATATAAGCAGTATAGCACAGCTTGTGCAACCTGTTTCACTTTCTGTCGCATACATCAATTCATAGACGGTTGGTGTGTGCCTGTGTCGACCCGATTTGCGTTCACACGGACGCGCGTATCTGCTCGGTGTCAGCCTCAGGCCCGTGTGTTGGTTGCCCAACCACCTCTGCTGGTCCTGATAAATGTTATGCACGTGTTCGGGCCCGCATGCCAGCTGAGTGAAGGGCTGTGGAGTCCACGTGTCTTTTCTAATGGCAAAAGCGCGTG